ACGAACGATAGAAACGGATTCTGACTCCTCCTCCCCCCCCCCCCCCCCCCCNCCCCCCCCCCCTTCCCCCAGTATCGGGAGGCTCCGAGGGTGACAGGAAGGACGATGTCGGGTTCCAAACTCAACAGATAAGGCATAGTGGGAGCCCCGTTAACGGATCGTCTGGATGCCCCTCCCCTCGACCGATCTGTCAGACGAGTGCCGAGGCGATACGGATTGCAATATTCGCGCCAGGACTCACACATACAGTACACAGTCAGCTGATAGCCAAGTAATGAGGCGATGTCTTCTTGCCATTCTTTTGTTCTCTGTTATTCTTTTTGCTGCTGCGCTCCCTTATTTAATTTACCAGGAGGGAAAGGTGGCTATTTTTACTGATACTAGGATTTTTGTTAATTCATGCTTATCAGTGAATGACTTTCAAAGGACATCATTGCCTACTGCAGTCAGTTATTCGCACCAGGATCCACACATGTGCAATGGCACACATTGCACAGCTCGTCCAAACGCCCCATTTTTCTTCATTTTTCTGGTGCCATTCTTGTACAGCTCCCTTTCAACGATTTTTCGAATCTTTTTTCACTTTGAAAATGTCGATTCACGCAGTTCCTTCGACTTCATCGCACTAGTTTCCATCTTCCATTTTTCGTCATAATTTGGATTACCCAAAATTATCTTGAACTGTGCCTTTAAATGCAATAGGTGACCATAAACGGAGAAGTTGGATGAATAGCATGATTCGCTCAATATAAAAGCTGCCTTGTACGGACGGCGCTTGAGGAACAATGGAAGCCCATGCGCTTTAATAGCAAAGAGCTGCTAAATGTCGCGCCAAACGACTGCTTCGCACATTTGTAAGCGATGCCCAAGTTCTAGCACAGGCCTTGACGTGCTGACCTTGTCCCGTCTTGGCGTTTACAATCTTAGCTTCTGCTTGAGCTTTTGTGATTGTGATTAATAGCGCTTCTACGACGTGGAAACAATCAATTTAGGCGTCAGGTTACGGTGCGTAGTGTTTTGTGCAATTGCACCGCTATGCTGAGGTATTTTTACGGGGGACGGAACTTACGTGCGTCCGAGGATGCGCGCGACAAACTGCGCGGCGAAGTGCGTGGGAATTCGAACGACTCTGGCGCCTATCATTGGGGCCCAAATTTGAAGTAGAGTAGATTAGTGGTATCATCTGACCCTACTAAGCTACTCTACTTCGAGTTTGGGCCAAAATGATAGGTGCTAGGGTCGTTCGAATCACCACGCACTTCGCCGCGCAATTTGCCGCGCGCATCCTCGGACGCACGTAAGTACCCATATCCTATTTTTACTTGTCATCTTTCCGGGTTGTTTATTGAACGCCGTCGGTTGAATGTTGCACTTCATTTTTGGTATCCCATGTTTTCAGTTCAAAAGTGTTAAAAGTTAGGTAAACATTGTTCTTTCATTCTAACTAGTCGATATCCATAACAGGTTTGGTGGGGGGTTGTGAACTAGGTGTGTTCCAGTAGCATTTTTTCTTTCGAGTCCGGTTCTGTAGGCATGGTTTGGGTGCTTGCGCTCTTTGCTACTCATGTTACCTGCTTTATTATTCATCTTGTTGAATACGTTTTGGGAGGTTTGTTACTGTCGTATCCACTGGATTAAAGATGTATTCCTTTGAATTGGAGAAGACATATGAGCACGGATCGGCGTGAGCTCCACTTATATTTTCGAGAGCAGAAAATACATGCTCATTTTTAAATATTCTTTTACCATCGTTATCTGAGCGTTCAGCAATTATGGTGTGAAATCAGCATATGCTGTCGTTCTCCCTCGCATTTTTAGTGGACTTTGGACTGATTCCTATCTCGTGCCGACACGCGATGTCAACGGTTTGTTTTATTATCAGTTTTGATTTGTGCCTATCGAGGAATTTTCGTGAATAATTCATTTGTCAAATGTTTTCTGGGACTATTTATCTTCAAAGAGTATGGCATATGTTGTTAACAAATCGTACTGTGACTCATGTGAAAGACGGACTTAAATAATGCTTTTCTGAAGCCAATTTCGAATCCTTTTTATATATTCGTTCGCAGCGACCTTGTGGCAAATGTCTTTCGCTTTGAACGGTGTGCTTATCTCTATTGTGCCTCCACTTGGGCCAACTAACGATGTTTGGGGATCTACCAGTGCAGTTTTGTTATTTTGAAGCACCCATGATGTCTGATGGCCGAGAAATTGGACGATGAAGCAACTAAATGGTAAAGGGATGGTCACTTGAAGCAGATCCATTATTTATATTCTTAAGTAGCTAACGCGATAGTGGTCAAACTACTTATAAGATCGCTTCTTATATTTTTATCTATAGTGAGGGTTACCTTAGTACAACCGGGTGGAACGATATGGTAATCCATGTTTCGCTGTGAACGTTTTCATTTTTTGAATTTGTGATTCTGGCACTCTCGAAATCGAGTCACTCTTACTTTACTTAGACCTCTCCAATGTTTAGGTGGAATGTATCCATAGAAAAAACCGAGGAGGCCCTCGAGTTTTTGGTAGCACGAAAACATCCGCAGTGTTACGGAATTCTGTGAATAGGAATCACTAGTCAATGAAAGAGACTTTTATAGTGGCTGAGTATTTAAAGGCTCATACTTCAAGGTCCTTGGACGAGATTTCGCACCGCCAAAATATTAGACTCTTCAACACGTTGTCTTGGGTTGGAATTTGATCAGTGCCTTTGCATTATTGGATTCTGGTGAGATACTGAAAGATGTCAAAGAAATTTCCGCATTTCTGAGAATTTTAAACAATTTGAAGCTAAGGACGTGTTGTCTCTTTTAGAAGGAAAAACACCAAAATCCAAATTACTTTGTGAGAAACCGCAGAATAGTACGTTGTTCCTACTGAAGAACGTGCCGTGATATTCTTTGAAATGCTCCCTGGTGGTGACCTCTTGCCAGTTGATATTGGTCAAAAATGTAAACAATGCCTTTAAACAATCCATCCAGTAGTGTAGACATAGTTTGATGGGCTAGTTATCGAAAATTTAACTGCTCTGGCTGCACTGCCTGCATCTGTCTGCATCAATAGTTTATGTCCCATTAAAAGGTGCTCGGTATTGGTTTAAGAACAACAGATGATGTTTCGTCTAAAAGAACAGTACTATTCAATTTCTAGCGAATGCTTTACTTTATAGAAAGCGTGTTTAACCGTTTTTGTTAAAATTTCCTCCTAGTGATCTATTGTTCAGTATTTTTGAGCAAATGAGATCGTGTATGTGTGTTTTTTCCAGATTGGAAGTGAAGGCTTTTTACTCAAAAGTTAATGAACGGTCAACGCTCAGCGGCGTCCTTTGCCTTGAAGAGTACCTTATTACAAGATGAANTGTGCAAAGGCATTTGTAGTAATGTAAACTCAGTTTTTTCAATGCGTTTTGAAGGGCGAAGCATTACACACAGCGTGATTCATCGTTAATAATTTCAGTTACAATGGCTGTTGGCAATTCGAAGGTTTGTTGATACGACCTGTTTTATTTGTTTAATGTCGTATGTCATTTTTAACAATAATTTGAAAGAAATACGATACCCACTTTGCGCTAAAATCAGCTGAACTTTCTAATTTTTGCGGTAAATTGCTCATTAAAAGTGACATTCCACTTCTCACTGACCTTTAACGCCTGAGGTTAAAGCTTGTGTAGCATGCTGTGAGTAGTCTGATATAAGTCATATATTTTGTCCCATTTTCAAATAGTTACACTTGGCCATGATGTCTGTTATAAGTTACTTTGGTTTTACAATAGTAAACAAACTTTATGACGGTATTAAACCGTTCTTTCATAAAATTTTTCCCCTCACTCATTGTGCGCTCCGTCGCCTACAAACTCGTCTGGTTTTCAGCTTTGGATTGGGTGATTCTTACTTTTGTTATTGGTTTTGCGCTATTATCACTACTGCTCAAATGATCCTATATTTAGAAAACGCTAAATTTGTGTCTGTTTGTATGTCCGTAAAGTCACGTAGACGCGATGAGCAGTGGGAAATCACACAGGCGTGGTGAGAAAATGGTATGAAATAGGAAGTTTACTGGTTCTATTTACATTGATTCCTTAAACAATACTGATCATTTAATTCATAGCTCCCTTCTTTTAAGGGTAACTCTTAATTTGATTCTTTTTAATCATATGCCAGTCATATCTAAGGGAATAGAGGGGGAGTGTGGAAAGACACCCTTACTAATATTGATCGGGGGTCGATAAATCGATATTGTTTGCATTGCCAACAACTGGTTAACATGCTTCACTTTAGACACAGGGAACTTATACCTACACGAGAAAAGCAGTTGAGTAACAGCGATTGATCGGGAAATCTGCAAAGCGGTCTGTAGGGAGTTTGATTCAATGCATTATTTTATGATATCATATCGAATTTTGCTGATTGATTTCCATCCGTTATATCTGTAATGCATTTTTCCTATGGCTAGATCTGAGCGAGATTTGGAATGGAAATTTTTTTGATAGCTGCTTTCTTTAGAGGCTCGATTCCAGGAGCAAACCTTGTCGTTATTTTGGGTATTGTTACGTGTGCCACGTTGCGAGGTAACAAGCATTAAAAAGTAACTTTGTTTGTCTTGAGCAGGATCGTCGTGGTATGTGAACGCGTTAGCGTGCGTAACCCAACTGGTAGGGTAATATTCCGCACACTCGGATCAAGCGGGGGAAGTTCAGAGCCTCTGATGCCTTGACCTACTCCCCAGGCTCTTTCCCTTCCCCCGCTTTTAACAAAGGATGGTGAACAGCTTTTGCTGCGGAGCCACAATCACTCATCACAATTCCGTTTCGCGTAATATTTGCGGCCTACTTCTTTCATATTCCACATTTCACACATATTTACGACTCAATACGTAATTCTCATTGCTTAGACAGAGCCTATCGTCATTCGTTTGTTCTTCAAAGTTTCAATTTGCCGTTTCGCTTTTGTGAATTTTTTTTTTCATTTAGTTTTTGTGTATATGTACATGCTTACAGAATGACGGAAAGCAGTGGGAGGGCGTTTGCCTTAGCCATCTCAGTTTTAATGGTGGTGACAGGTTCTCTGAATACGATCTGCGCGAAATGGGCGGACAGTCTCAAAGCTGACGGTGTAGCTTTCAACCATCCTTTTCTACAGGTACGATGATCGAAATGCCCTGAAATTTCATTCCACCTCGTAGCTACTATTAGTAACGAATCAAGAGTGTATTCCTTAAATCACATTTTTCGGATTGATTCAATCGGAAAATTTCTTGTCTGGTCGTTGCTCAGGTCGAAGGTTCTATTGGGGCATCTACTCACTCGAACTTTATTTACTTTTTCAATTTCAGTCGACTTGTATGTTTTTCGGAGAATTCTTATGCTTAGTCGCATTCTTTATTATTTATGGTTATCGAAAACATCGTTGGAATTCAGTCAACATAAGCGGTTTGTGCATTTTGATTCTTGTTCCGCTGTATACGTACTTCGCGTAGAGTGTAAGTAGCAGCAAGCGTAGTTCTCGATTTTAGGCCAATCCGGTTCTGTAACTGATATTACATCAGACTCTGAGCCGCAGCTTCCCCAATTCAACCCTTTTGTATTTCTGCCGCCAGCATGCTGTGATATTCTTGCAACCTCAATCATGTATATCGGTTTGAATCTTACAACGGCTAGCAGTTTCCAAATGTTGAGAGGTGGGTAGAGGGATTTTGTGTTCATCTACCAAACATATTTTAAGTTCTATGAGCTATATGATTAGAAATTCGTTTTCAATCCTCTAATTTTAGGTGCTGTTATCGTCTTCACCGGCCTGCTTTCCGTTGGTATGTTGGGAGCCCGTATTCAAGGATTCAAATGGATTGGCATGATTTTCGTCATCCTGGGGCTTGTTGTCGTTGGAGTCACTGACATCCTTTATGATGATGATCCACTTGACGATAAGAACGCCATTATCACAGGTGAGCCAATTGTAGCCATTGTAATTGCTCGATCATACTGAATGTTTTTCTTCACATTTTGTTTGAACTTCCGTAGTACCTATGGAGCTCTTGAGCTCGGTCTATATCTGTTTTCGTTGTTGTGAAAGAATAGCTACCTAAGTTCGGGCATTGTTATGGAAAACTGTACCCTCTCTTGTATTGTCCCAGGGAAGTACTAATCGAATGTTCAAATATAATAGATCGCTAGGCTAGGATCTGTGAGTTGCGTTAAAACTCGTATGGTCTGAATGTTACCTCAGAGGTTCCGCATTCCTGTAAGTATCTGGGGCGTGCTGTAACCTTGTTTGATTTGATGTTTTAACCTATGAACGTGCAACATTTATTTGGATTACAAGGAGATTTCAGGCAATTTACTCATAATAATGGCACAAATCATTGTTGCCATACAAATGGTATATGAGCAGAAGTATCTGAATCAGTATGATGTGCCAGCACTGTTTGCTGTTGGGCTCGAAGGTATGTTGATGGAAGGAATGGGCTTTATACTTGAGTTTTGCCGCGGATTACTGAAGGTTTTTATGTATGAAATCTAGATAAGATGAAGAAGTCTGTATCATTAATTGAATTTTCGAATAACTACTAGAATCGCTCGGCTGTGGGTTTCCTTTTTTGTAAAAGAGTCAAAGCATACTTTTGACGCCGTGCAGTAATCTTTTCTGTACAATAGTTTAACATCTTTGAGCAAGAAAAAAATCATTTCTTCTTATTATCTTGACTGCTTTTCTATAAACACCCATGGAGTAGCGAA